AATAGCAATTTCCCAATTATAGCAGATACAGAAGGTAGTGCTGAGAAAAAAGAGGACATGGGACCCAGAGAGGGGCCATCACCACTGCCCACCACCACCCACCATCCCCAGAATGTAGTCAGGTACTTCAAGCCATGTGAGCCTGGCATACACACATGTGAACACGCGTCATGGAATCAGAGAGGCCTGAGTGTGAATCCTGTCATCTTTGCTGGCTGTGTGTCAAATAACTTGGGAGAGTTATTTCACCTCACTGAGCCTGTTTCCAAGGCTTTTAAGTGGAGACAGTGATCCCTGTGGTAGAAAGAATGGCCTTCCCAAAAGATATGTACTCCCTAATCTCTGTGTTGAAGAAAAAAAATTATTAAGGCTTGTTGAAATGGTAAGGGAAGACTTTATTCATAATAGATGTCAAGACCGTAGCAACTGGGGAGAGAGGTGAGGCTCAACTGTGAATGCAGCAGGAATAAATGGGGATTTCAAGCCAAAGAGCAGGGTAGGGTGGAGTGGAGGCGTGTGGATGGGAAGTTTGCTAAGAGAGCCATCAAGGATGGGGGGATTCTTGCTAACCTGACCTAAGGATTCTTGCTAGGGTAATTGGATATCAAGGATGGAGGGTTCTCTAAATTGGCCCAGCAGAATTCTTGCTAAAACTGGGTGGTGTAGGTTCCATAAGAACAGGAGCCAAGGTGGAGGCCTAGTTGGGCAGAGGGCTTAGAGAGGTCTGATGAAAGTTCGTTCAAGGACAGCATCTTATCACCTAGAGCCTGTCAGGATGCTACCATACATGGCAAAAGGGGTATTGCAGGTGTGATCCAGGCTACTAAGTCAGTGGCCTAGAATTGGGAGATTATCCTGGATTATCCAGGGGGCCCAGTCTAATCACAGGAGCCCTTAAAGGCAGAGCACTTTGTCCAGCTCGAGTCAGAAGAGTTGGAGCAGAAGGAGAAGTCAGACTGGTATCATGAAAGGCTCTGGACTGGTTTAGAGATGGAGGGGACAGAGTGGATGTAGCTTAAGAGGCCCCTGGCCTATAGGCAGCCAGGAAAAGGAGCCTCAGCCCCACAACCACAAGGGGCTGAGCTCAGTGCAAACAACCTGAATGAGCTTGAAATGGATTCCAAATCCTCTTCAGAGCTGCCAGAAAGGATTGTGATCCTGCTGATGCTTTGATTTGGGCCTCGTGAGACCGTCAGCAGAGGCCCCAAGAACACTCAGTCCTGTTTGTGTGGTCATCTGTCGCGGCAGCAACAGAAGTGATTCCACTCCTATGTCAGGGGGCTGACCTGAAGATTCATTAGATAACACGCGGTGCCTCCCCTGCAGGCTCTGTGTGAGCAGCGCTTGTTAGCAGAGCAGCACGTCTGACCTGCTGGAACAGCTTGTCCCTCAGACTTTCTCATGCGACCTCACCCTTTCCACACACGGTGGCCCAGGAAGAGGGAAATGCCTCTTCTGAGAAGAGCATGGACAGCAGAGCTCAGGCAGGCCACTCTCTGTTCCTTGTCTGGGCTGCTGCACGAACCTGCCCCCAGGTGACATCCCTCGGCGTGCTCCTGCAAATCCCAGGCCTGGTCAAGTCCTAGCAGACAGGACCCTGGTGGTCCCTTCCCACAGAGATTACAGACAGGGAAGGGCGCCGCCTTGGCCTTTGCAGTCGTATGGCCGTGCAGGCCTGTGGTTACTGTTCGTTCAGAAGCTGGGGGCCTGGATGCGGTGTGATTGTCCCAGGTGTGTGAGAGTTTTGCTCACACTTAAGGCTGTCTTTTGTGGGCTCATAAGATTACTTCTACTCAAGTCCACATACTCATTAAAAAATAATAACTTCTGGACTCAGGAGGCCTTTAGAACTTAAAGATTATTGAAAGGAAGGGTCCCTGTTGCCACATTTCCCTGTGTGAACTTAGAACAATGGCCAGGTGTCTGTCTTTTCTGCCCACCACTGTCCGCTCTACTCCCTTTGTTCTCAGTCGTTTGCAACAAAGTGGTCAAAGGTCGAATGGCTGATGCTGCTGTGTATGCAGTATATGTCTGTATACAACACAGGAGGCACCACTTAACACAGGGCCCGTTGCATTCATTGGAACCCATGCCTCATGCTCCTTTGCCTTTGTTTAGAAACCAGGCTACAACATGAAATTAGAACCTTGATCACGGTAGCCTAGGAGTGGCTTATGAATTGCTTTGGTTTGGTTTTGGGGAGATAGCTGTCCCCTCTCCTTGAATTCCTGTCCACCAGCCAGGGGCTTGGCAGGGAGACATTGGCTCTGACGGAGGGTGAGGTGGGGTGGCCTGTGAGTCCTGGGAAAACCACCAGCGGGAGGGTGAGACAGAAGGCGAGAGGTGGGAATGCAGGGTGAAGAGGGCCATCTGCTCTCAAGTATGAAGCTGAAGTTTAGAGGAAGTAAGAAAACAGTGCCCCGAGTGAGGATGGAATAATTACACATCTGCCTGCCTGCAATTCAGAGTGGATTTGAGCTGCATGCCATTCATCGCCAGGGAGCTTGCGCTGGCGCTGACTCAGCAAAAAAAAAAAACACCGCAACTCCCCCTTCCCCCAGACTCCCCTCATGGTTTGTTTGCTCCATGCTCCTTCACTGAGAAAGGGATGGCTTTGCAGGAGCTGCAGACGTGGAGGTGGAGAGCGGGGTCCACGCTGTCCCTGGAAGGCCTGCTGCCTCCCACCTCAGTCTACAGCAGTTCTGACCTGTGAGTCCCCACTGCATGGGGCCTCAGGATGGCAGGACTTTCCCCAGAGCACCAGCAGATACTCTGTGAGGACAATTATTCTTACAGTCAGTGGTGTAGATAAACGTAGGGCAACTCTATGTCCTTGATATTAAATATTCCACCCTGTAGTGCCTGACATAGTACCTGTACAAACCCTGTGTAGTCCCTCTGTGTAGTACCCGTACATGCCTGGATTGTACTTATACAGAGTTCCCATAAAATACCTGTACGCAGTACCTGTACATTAATATGCACACTCCAAGCTGCATCACCGGGCTGCCTCAACTCTGGCAGCAGCCCAGCAGTGTGAGTCATGCCACGCATCTCAGATCATCTCAGTTACAACAGTCTGGGCTCCAGAGCAGAGATGCTGTTACCACTTGGGCTGAGGCTCCTATCAGCCAGCCTGCAGGAGAACTACGGCACTTGTCAGGACTGGATGAATGAGTAGACGAGGAAGACGGGTGACAGCTCGTTAATTTGTGAGTACCCTGACGTAGGTATCTCTACCCAGGAAGACAAGGAGGAGGAAGAATGGGGGAGAGGAGGCAGGCTGCAGGAGGGTGGGGATGGGGTAGAAGAGGTGCTGTGCCTGCTGGTGCCCGGCACCCTTTGGCAGAGCAGCAGGCAGCCACTGGAGCTGGGGCTGATAGGGTGGAGGTCAGTCCTCAGCATCACGTGACTCTGGGGGCCAGCTGAGAAAGCAGTGTCAGGAAGACACTCAAAAAGACAGAGCCTTGGGGTAAAGAATGCCAGAAGACCAGAAGGAAGGTGGAGAAGGATCAAGGTCAAGTGACTGCTCTCCAAGGTGGTGATCTGTGCCTGACTGTGGCGAGGGCGGGGTGTCAGTAGATTCTGAGAGAAGCAAAATGTGGGGCAAAGGGAGCACAGGGAAAGAGACAGGTTGCCAGGGCACAGGGTGGGGGTGGGATGGAGGCGGAGTTGGAGGGATTCCTTTGCAAATGAGGAGGGACATATGTCTCACTTGAATACATGGAAAGGAAGAGATCATTGCCAAAATATAGGCAGATTTTTGAAAGAAAGCTGGTACAAACTTTGTAGGTTATATCTAGTCAGCCAGGCCTCCTTCTCTAGTTGTGAAGGATGCGAGGGTTTCCTTTTTAGGATCTGGAGCAGACCAGGTTTTGAGATTCCAGAGAGAAGTTGATTGGAGCAGAGTAGAACGTATATCTGCCTAAGACTAAATTCACACGTGTTCCAACACAGTCCCATGGACCTACCCCTTCAACCCTTCTGTGCCCTCAACACAACGGGGAGAGATGGATGTTGGCAGTTGGCAAAGCTCTCTCACTGCTCCGTGTCACAGACACCAGGCTGGAGCAAGTGATCCCAATAGTGACCCTTCAAAAGCCAACTGTAACATAGACCTTTATGGGGAAGTCTCAGAATTAAGCCCACAAATTCAAGAGCCTCTCGTGGAAGAAGAAGGAAGTTGGAAGTGAGCACAGGTGGGCAGTGCCATTGGTGTCTGTGTTCTAAAGAGACCGGCTTCTGTGGCATGTCTCATCACAGCTGTCACTTATCTTTTGATTGCATTTAAGAGTTTTTGCAGTATGCTCAAAATTCTATTTCATTTGATGTCAACAGCAATCCTATGGAGTATTTTTATGATCTTCATTTGATATTTGAGGAAACCCAGCCTCAGTGAGGTCAAGCAGGTTTCCTAAGGGACGCGGCTGGTAGCTTTCTGCAGACTCAACAACTGCTGACCCCAGAGCCAAGCACTTCCTGTTTCTCCTCACTCCATGTTCTTGCCATCACTTGGCAGCAACCTTGAGAAGTCCTTTGTTCAGTCTAGTGCACATGTTGTCCCCACTCTGAGGGAAATCTGAGCTTCCTGGGAATAAGCTGTAGCCTGTTCGGGACAGCATCTGGGTAGGCAAAGGGGCAGGTGTGGAGAAGGTGGCATTGGGGTTAGTGTCAAGGAAGCCTTGCCTGTGACTGAGTGGCCTTTCCAAGGACACATGGCAGGAGTCAGCCAGGGCCAGGTAAAGGGAATCTGAGGCCAGGTGAGTGAGCGAGCAGGTGAGGATCAGGATGAAGAAATTACATCCAGACACCTGCTTGGAGAGAATGAAGGGAGATGGAACAGAAAGTGGAGGGACAATGGATGAGAAGGGACACATGGTGAAGGAACCCAGAGAGGTGGGCCTAAGTGCTGGAGGGTGCAGGGCACGTGTGTGGTGAGAAGGCACTAGAATTCTCATTCCCTGTCCTGGACACTAGACATGCTTCCACATGGCCCTCCCAGGAGCAGTCACCCACCAGCGTGGATTTTTCCTGAGCTAGCCTACCCTCTTTATACCTGAGCTTGACTGCAGAAGCATGAATGGAGCAAGAATTCCCAGATGGGAAGCTGGCTTTTCCCACCAGTGGCATACCCAGTGTCCGGGAGGTGGGCAGCATGCCTTCGGTGTAGTCAGTAAGGGGTACACTGTAGAGAAGTTAGATGCAATAACAAAACTGCCTAAAAGTCATTCAGCAATTCTAAACCATGGCAGCGATACAATTCCTCCACCATCTGATTCCACTGCTTCCTTCTGGGGCAGAACCACAACTTCCTGCCTTCTAGTAAGCAGGCCCAGGGGAGAAATGTATCGTCAGCCCGATCCCAGCACCTCTGCTAACTCCACCCCACCCACTTCCCTGAGGTCCCTGCAGCAGCAGCCAGCCAGGAAGAAATGGGTATGTGAGCAAAATTCCCACCCAGGGAGCAACCCCAGCAACACCTCTGAGGCTTCCATGACATTCTGTGGCTGCTCTCAGCTCTTGGGTGCAGCTCAGCCTTTCTCCTCCCTAGCAATGATGCAGATGCCCTCACGGAAGGGTGGCGTAGCAGTCTGGGTGTTGGGAGGTGCTCTCCTGGGCACCTGTCCAGGCACCTCCTGGGAATTTGGTCCTCTGTTGCAACCAACTCTGGCCTGGTGGTTTGCACACCTGTCAGAATGCGAAACTCGCTATCTCCACAACAGCCAAGTACTTCAGTCTAGGCCTTGACTGGCAGAAAGTTCTCCCATATTCTCAAAGGGAAATTCTTTCCCCCACAGTCCTGGTTCTAACCCTCTGGGTCATATGAATAAGTCTAATCCATCTTCCACACTGAAACCTTCCATATGTCCAAAGCAGCTCTCTGGTGGCCCCAAGGCTTCTGTTTTCCAGGCTAAGCCTCCCTCCACATCTCCCCCACCATGCTGGCCTGGAATGTGTTCCTCCATAAGGGGAGGGGACAGGCAGGTGCTCATTTAGATTTGTGCTCCTCCATGCCAGCCACTGTTCCCATATTAATGCATTACCAACTCTCAGGTGGAAACTATTAGCATTCCCATTTGTGGATGGGGAAACTGAGGTTGCTCAGCCAGTGGAGCACATGGCCTGTGGAGTTGGCACTTAACCCCCAAGCCCAGGCCGGGTGCAGTGGGCCCTTGCCACGTGCTTGGACCTGGTGCCTTAGAGCTGCCGCCCTCCAGGGGTGCAGAGTGGTGACGCGGGGTGTGGCTGTCTTGCAGAAATCTCCTTCAGAGTGTGGATGTGTGGGGGCAGCCTAGAGATTGTCCCCTGCAGCCGAGTGGGCCATGTCTTCCGGAAAAAGCACCCGTACATTTTCCCGGATGGAAACGCCAACACATACATAAAGTAAGTGACTTACCCAGGGGCTCTGCGGGCAGCACAAAGTGAGGGCTTTCTTTATGATGGGATGCAGCTGTGCCAGGTTCTCTGGTAGGTTTCTGGAGTGCTCTGGATTCTCAGGATCCCCACGTCATGCTCCCTGAGACTCGGCCTAAGCAGGGGAGGTTGGGCCTGCCCATCCAGCATTGGGCAGGAGGCCCCAAGGCTGCTCTCCACATTGATTCCCAGGCTTGTGAAGGCCCCACCTCCGGGCTCAGGGGCTTCAGATCCCTGGGCGGCACCATCCTGCAGGGCTGGGGCTCTGGGTAATGGGTTTGTTTTTGCCCTGAGTTGTAGACAACCTCCTATTTCCACCTTCAGGCTGGGCCATCAGAGGTAAGGTCCTTGGGAAGATTTGGGAATGGGGACAGGACAGAGACCCCAGGAACTCAGTGACCCAGTGGTTCCCACTTGTCTATTCCTGCTCTCCCTTTGGACTCATTTCTCTTTGTCTGAGTTTTTCTTTTTCCATCTTTCTCTTGTTTTAAAAATAATTCATGTCCATCCCTTTTTTCCTTTGTTCATCTTGTCTCTAGCTCCTTTCCTTCTCCTACTGTCATCTGACAGCTCCACTCAACCACTTACCCCCTTTTCTATTGTTTCCTTACTGCCATTGGGTCATGTAGGGAGGAAGAAGTGAAGCATCTCTTTGGGTGTTTTTCCTCCCACTTGGGGTGTCATTTCCCAGTTCCGTGTTCTTCCTTCCTTGGTTTTTCACATGTGTGAACAGGTATGCATCAGGTCCTAACACAGCAGTTTCAGAGTTGACATGGGGTTTCAGCAGGGGGAAAGTTGACAACACTTTTTGCAGAAACGTGGTAGGCCAGGGCTGGGCAACGAGAAACCCAGCAGGAGGGAGCAGGGAAATCAAAGTCAGGGCTGCCTCAGCTCTCATGTTTCCTAAGGGGAAGGTGAGCTGGGGGCATGGGGTGTAGGAAAAATGGGGCCGTGATGTGGGATGAGAGGATAGAGCCTTGGGCTCCAGAACATTCATTGTCTTTAGGTCCAGGCCCTGGTCAGTGGGCACCCTGAATGCCAGGTTCAAGAAAGGTGGCAGGGGTGTCTCCTACGCAGCTCCCAGTTTGCTGATGGTTAGGCCAGGGAAGGAGCCAGCGAGGCACTATAACTGCCTTCAGTGCACCGGGAAGCGGGCTGTGTACACATGACTGTCATTTCAGGTCCACTGACTGGCTTGGAAGGGCTTGCCGTGCTCCTCTATCAAATGTCTCTGCTCCAAACCAAACCAGAAATCTGGAGGAGCATTCCCTTGTTTAGTGAGAGCCCAGGTTCACTTACGTGGGCCCGGCAGGGGCTGTTCCCACACTGCCCCCGCATCCAGTAGTTTTCCCATGTCCCCTCTCGAGTCTGAGGCTCCGCCTCATATCTCTGCCTCCCTGACTGCTGAATGGTGCCATGTGCCATGTCAGTCTCTGCCCTTTCTCTGTGACCCTCAGGGTCAGATGCAGAGCAAATGCCTGATTTAAAAAACTAGAGTGCTGGATATTAGATTGGATATTAGATTAAAAAACTAATATCCAACAGAGATGGCTTGATTACTTCCTTTACACCTGCACCAAGTTATTCCCATGGCCGGGGATGACCGTGGGACTGGCTTTCCTCTCGGAGAGCTGGGACCTCAGCACACACCTGTGCAAAGGGGGAACATTGGAGGAAGAGCCTGGGGACGGCCAGAATGAGATGGCCACCATAGCAATGTGCCGAGTTCTCCTGGCTGTTTCCCCCCACACACCCTTTTTTTATTTTTATTTTTTGAGAGTCACAGAAGCTCCATTTCTGGCATAATTTTTCTTTTGGAGAGGAATTTGCCATTACGGCTAAAATCCTGTGTGCTGGTAAACTCCCTGTTGGAGACTGGGTAGGACTTGGCTGGGCTCAGCACCCAGGGAAGAAGAGTATTAACTGGATTGTGGTGGCCCCCACCCAGGGGGCTCCTGCCAGCTTGCCCATGTGTGTATTTTAACTGGATGCATCATAGGTCCTCATGGACAGCCCCTCCCTCCACCCCCTGTCTCCCCAGGAACACCAAGCGGACAGCTGAAGTGTGGATGGATGAATACAAGCAATACTATTATGCTGCCCGGCCATTCGCCCTGGAGAGGCCCTTTGGAAAGTAAGAGTCCCTTCTGGTTGATTTGTGCAGAGGGTCAAGAAGAGCCCCAGCTCACAGGCCAGGCGAGTGGGTCCTGGCAGGCCTGGTGCTCAGCTGGTCTCCCAGGCCACTCAGCCCCTCTAGGGCCCAAGCTCTTCCCCTTCGGATCCCCTCTTGGGGCTGATAGCGCCTCTATGGTGCTCCAGCGTCATGGGAGTGCCAGCAGACAGGGAAAGGAATTAAGTGCCAGATACCATGACATAAGATACCTCATTAGTACTAAACACTCAGAGAAATGGGTGTAATGGCCCCTGTCTCACAGACAAGGAGACGGAGGTTTCTCCAGCTTCAGTCAGTGGCTGTAGATCACAGCACTGTTAAGATGAGGATGAGATACAAAGCACATCTGTCTTCCTTCAAAACTATATACTGCATTCCCCAACCCACAACTTTTTGATAGAGAAAAGTGACAACTTCATTTATGTTATATTTTGATTTGGCCTGAGGGACAACCGGTGGCTTTTTGCCATCTAGTGTCCCTCAGTCATGCAAAGGCTGTTGAGGGTTTGCAGCCTGCACTTCATAGGTCCAGTCCCTGGCTGCTCCCAGGGATTGAATCAGGCCCTGCCAGGAGGATCTGCATCTCTGAGATCACACACCTGCACTGTCCCTCCTTTCTCTCCCCAAGAGCCTCTCGAGGCCATGGCTCTGCGTCCTCCTCTAACTCTGGTCCCTGGGTGGCCCCGTCCAGCCCCCTCCTTTCTGCACTTCCTCCCTCTCCAGCTTGGATTCCACTCTGTTGCTTAAAGAGAGGGTGTAAAAAATGTCCTCAGCTCTTTTGCCCATTGTGCATCTTTCAACACCCGAGGCAAGGTTTCCTCAATCCTGGATGCACCTGACTGTGTACCTTTTCCTCCCCCGTGCACAGGCCGCTGAATGGGGCTGGGAAATAGCAGCTGGCTCTGTCAGTCTCCCCCAGCCTCAGGGAGGCCCTCAGGAGGCGCATTGGTGCTGCCGCCTTTCATGACCAGCACTCACCTTCCATCTCTGTTAAACCTGCCCTCCCCAAATCCTGAGTCCGCAGGCTCCTCCCACTCACAGCAGGTGATCCTTCTGTCCTACAGATGAAACTGCACCTACTTCCCAAGACCAGCCAACCTATAAACTTCACTGTGTCCGCACCATCCTTCATTTCTTTCATCAGCAAGGTCAAGGTGTGTCTCCTGCCCTGTCAGGCCAGCCCTCCACCTGTACTCGGGACACACCTTTGATCTGCCTTCATTCACAAATCAACATTAATAGTTCCCTCTGCTTGGATTCATCTCCTCTGCCTTCTGGCTCAGGGCTTCTCAAACTTCAATGTGCACGTAGATCTCCAGGGGATCGTGTTAAAATGGGGATGCTGATTCGATAGAGTTGCATTTCTAATAAGCTCCTAGGTGATGCCATGCTGTTGGTCTGAGGACTTTAACTCAAGGAGAAAGTTCTAGAGCATGGTTCCCAAACTAGCCTGCACATCACAATAATCTGGGGGAGCTTCAAAAAACTATACTCCACCCCAGTAGAGTAACTTAGTCTGGGGTGTGGCTTGGGCTGTAGAATTTTTAAAAGGCTACGCACCCAGGTGAATTTACCGTACAGACTGCGAGAACCACAGTTCTGGGGGATTTTGCCTCCATGGGTTTTCACTCTCCTTGACCCCTAGTCTCTTTTCTCTGCTGCACGCTTCCCATCAGCATTTAAACTGATTTGGTGTCTTACTTTTTTTTTTTGTCTTACATCTTTTTAAAAAGTGTTTTTAAAGGAAGACGAGGAATGGAAACAAACTCTCCTGCCGTCCAGCATTGCTCATCACCTACACCCCCGTCTTCTGTCCCTTCAGAGCCAAGCTTCATGAAACAACTGCTTGCACTTGCTGTCTGTGGCTCCTTGTTCTCCTCTCCTCACTGTGATCTGAGGCCTTGCCCTGCCCCCTGGGGTCGCTCCCGCCTGCTGCGATCACTCCCACCTGGCCCACCCTGGCTCCCTGGTCCCCTTTGCGTGGCATCCTCTCTATTACTCCAGCCCTCAGATGCACCTCTGATCTCTGCCTTTCCGTAACTGTAGTCTTGGCTCTTGTCCTGCTGCTCAGGCTCTACCTTCTTGGTCCCACTGGCAGCCTCAGCTTCCTCTTTCCACCCTTACTTGTTGGTCTTCCCAAAGGGTCTTCCCTCTTCGTACTGTACATCATCCCTGGCATCCACCACTTCTGAGCTACTGGTACTCAGACCTCTGTAGACTCTAAGCAACCTGGGGACAGACCTGGTGATGCCATGCTTTTGGTCTGAGGACTTTAACTCAAGGAGAAAGTTCTAGAGGATGGTTCCCAAATTAGCTTGCACATCACAATAATCTGGGGGAGCTTCAAAAAACTCTACTCCACCCCAGTAGAGTAACAGTCTGGGGTGTGGCTTGGGCTGTAGAATTAACCTGGACCTCTCCTCTGAGCTCCAGGGCCTTAATGTCCAAGTAGCAGCTGGACATCTCCACCTGGATGTCTCCCAGGCTCCCCAACACAAGTCCTAAACTGAACTCACCCACTTTGCTCCTGAACTTGTTCCTCATCCTGTATCCCCCATCTCAGTGAACGTTCTTCCTTGCATTCTGGTGTCCTAGTCAGAAATCCAGGTGTCAACCTTGACTCCTCCCTCTGATCTCCTCCCACGTCCAAACAGCCACCACGTCCAGTAATCCTGCCTCATTCCCGCACTAAGCACCCAGGTCCTGGCTAAGCATTCAGCAATTTTTTTAAAAAGTCATTTCTGTCCCCATGTTGCTTAGAGTCTGCTGAGGCAGTGTGGTTAGTGCTGTACGAGAAGCCCTGGGGCCCTGAGAACACCTGGTCCAGTCGGATGGAAGGAGGTGCGACTGGCCAGAGCAGGGACCATTCTGTGGTCACCAGGGAAGACAGGGTGTAAATGGAGCTCAGGTGGGCACTGATGGTGCAGATGGTGAGAAGAGGAGGGACTTGACCCTGTCACATCTCTCCATCCCCACCCCCTAAAAGCGTGACCACCTGGGTTTCTGCAGCCACCCCTCTACTGCTCTCCATGTCTCCAGCTTTGCCCCAGCAGAGCCATTCGCCATCTGTACAATGCTCGGAAGTGCAAGCCTCACCACGTCATGCTCTGCTTAGAACCCATCAATTGCTTCTCATTGCCCTCAGCCCAAACTCCTCCACAGTGCCTCCCAAGACCCTTTATAGTCTGTCTCCATCTCACATCCCACTCATTTCCCTGCTTCCTCCCCTGTGTACATACATTCATACACTCATAGAACCTTCAGTGCTGCTCCTGCCAACAGAATTCTCACTTCTTCCCATGCACCGTCTCTCTTTGCTGTTCCCCTGCCTCTACCCCAGGGCCCTCACCTCACACACTTTCAGGTTTGTCTAGATGAGGTCCACTTTTCCTTCCAGATAACAGCTTCAGCATCACCACCACCTTGACCACCATCGACTGGACAAGCAAGGGTACACTTCTGAGGTGCTCCCACAGCCCGCGAGTGCCCACCCCACGTCCACGTGGGGTTGTGATCACTTGTTTCATTTCCATTCTCTGTTGCTGGAAAGCTCGCCTATCCCCCATTGGGTACGATGCCTGACATATAATAGGTGCTCAATTAATGTTTGATGAGTAAATATATGAACAGATCCCAGAACCCAAGGAGAGGATTCTTTGAGGCTGGGATGGTCAGGGGTGGTATTTTGACTGCAGAATCTAAATAGAGATTTGGGATTTGGGTAAGTAGACTCAGAGCCCTGGCAGTAAATCATTAACAACCCACTGAACATACCTATAGCCTTGTTTTTAATGAAAGTAAAACCACTCCCAAATTCCATTTTCAAGTAAAAGCACAGGTCCTCAGTGTCATTGTCACATCACTGTGAGATATTTCTGGGTGTTTCCATTATTAGAGCCACAGTCTGGAGCTCTAGAAATCTCTCTTGGTTAATTTCTCTAGCACCCTCCAGAAAGAGGTGGGTGCAGGCTGCAATTTGTGCTTCCTGTCCCTGGCACAGCCGTGTTCTGTTTTTTTATCTGTTCCTGCCCCTGTATCCAGCATCGAGAGCAGATTGGACTTGCGGAGGAATCTCCAGTGCCAGAGTTTCAGGTGGTACCTGGAGAACGTCTATCCTGAACTCAGGTACCTGCCCCACCCTTTGAGCCTTTTCTGATGGCAAGGAGATGCCCTCAGCTGGCTTGGTCTGGAGAAGGGACAGCCCATGACCAACTGGATGAGAGTTTTTAAGTGTATGGGGATCTGAGAAGACCTATTGGCTCTTCTTATCCCTGAAAGGATATTATGTTAGGAATTATATTAATCAGTGGCAGGAGGGCTTGAGGTTAGCTAGTAGCAGTGTTTCCCAACTGCTGGGGTTTGATCCCACCATGTGACCTAAGAGCATGGACCCGCCGACATGGACTCCATTCCAGAGTCCTTCTGCCCTGGGACTCCTGGTCTTTCCTTGCTGCCTTGCTCCTAGAGACACCCACTTCCTCGAGCAGTGCATACCTTGTAACAGCCCAGGGTGAAATGCCCCTCAAAGCACTGCCTCGACCTCTGGCTGCTCGTGTTACAATCCAAGGAGCATCAGATTCTCATCTCTCCTGTGGCATTCCTCTAGAGTCCCCAAGGACTCCTCCATCCAGAAGGGCAATATCCGACAGAGGCAGAAGTGCCTAGAGTCTCAAAAGCAGAATAACCAAGAGATCTCCAAGGTCAAGTTAAGTCCTTGTATCAAGATCAAAGGCGAGGATATAAAGTCCCAGGTAAGTAACTGGTTAGGGATCTGAGAATGTGCATGGATCAGCTTCCATCACCTGCTTTTATATGACACCAGGGTCCAGTTATACCCAGAGTTCAGCAGCAGAGTAGAAGTACGATTCCCTCACTCTGGAACTAGGTCACTCTGTTAAGTTTCCAAATGCATGGAATTTCTTTGAAAGATGCTTTCCAGGCAACATGGTGCCTATAGGAAATTGCCATTAAATTAGCAGGGTTTGGTGATCAGCCCGCTAGGAATAGATGTGGGCTGGGTCTGCAGGGCAAGTGGTATAGCTACTTTGCAAATATGAAATAACAAAATGAGAAATGCATGCTGCTGGCTGATGCTGCTCCAGGGTGAAATACCTCCTCTCTGAGTCTCCCCAGTGATTTAACCCTGACTTCCAGGCAGTCAGATCAGCTTTGGTAAAACCATCACCATTGCTGGCTGCCCCTATCTCTAGGCAGGGCCCTCATTCATCCCTGTCCTGTGCTCAGCAGGCCTGTACCCCCACCTCTGCTATCTCCTGCTTCCCCCAAATCTGGAGGAACCACTGTAGTCCCTTCTCAGAAATGTTTCCTTGTGCCATAGTTGATTGATCAACATAGCACCCCCATGTTCTGTGGGTCATTGTTCTCCCTTCTGAGGACAGACCTCTCAGAGGTCATTGACAAAGCCACAGCCTGTCTCAACCTCTGTAACTCCTGGCCTGCTGGATGCATGAAAGCACATTCGTCTTGTAACTTCCCTCCTGGCTCCGGGGGTGTACATGGTCCTGATTCTCCTTCCTTCCTGCCCTTTCTGTCTGTCAGCTTTGCTAGTTCATGGCTCTGCTGTCACACCCTTATGGTGAGTATACGCCAGGCTTCGCAGGTCCCTGTTCTTTAATCTGTAAATGCTTTCTTGGAGATTTTATCCATACTTCCAGCTTTGGCACTCTTCTCTGTTTCATCGATTCACAAAATCTGTGTCTTCATCCATGAATTCATTCATTCATTCACTATGTTCTCCACTAACTGTGAAGATGCAAAGATGAAAGGCTAGGTCACAGGCCTCCATGATCCCTCAAGGGATCTACTGCAGAAATAAACAAGTAAGCAGCCATTCTGCTGTAAACTCTGTCCTGGATAGCTTTGCCCAAGGCACTGTAGGAACACTGAGAGTTGGTATCCAAATATGCAAGATGATCAGAGTCCTCCTCCTAGAGGACTGGAAAATGAGCTGCTTCCTGAGAGATGAGTGGAAGTTGGTCATGTCAGGAAGGGGAGAAAGGGCGTCTGAGGAACCATAGCATGTTCGGAGGCCTGGGGCTGAGACTGAGCCATCAAGCAAGCGCACAGCCATACAAACTCACCTGCAACCCAAGCCTACTGATTTCAGCAAGCAACTGTAAGGCACCCCTGCTGTCTCCCCCTCCCACTAATTCTCTCCATGTGACTCCCTCTCTTAGCCTCCACGGGTCCCATCTGTCCCTCTGCCATGGCTCCTCTTCTTCCTGCATCCCCATTTCTATGGGTTCCATCACTTCTTCCCTCAGCATAGCTGCTCTTGGACCCTGTGTTCGCTTCCTCATGTTTGACTAGCCTTCCTCAGCCCCGGCACTGTTGACATTTTGGGCTGGGTGGCTCTTTGTGGTGGGAGCAGTCCTGAGCTGTAGGCTGTAGGTTGCCTCCCCAGCAGCCTCCCCGGCCTATGCCCACCCGATGCCAGTAGCATCCCCCTCACACTAGTCATGGCAACCAAACTCTGCAGGCTCCACCAAATGCCCCTGGCCTCCATGCAAACTGCCCCAGCTGGGAACTGCTATGTTAGATTATGGCCACAGCCTCCATTCCCTGCCCCTCATCCTTCATCTGACATGTCATCAAACCATTGTTCCCCATCTCAGTGCAGCCTTCAGTGGCTCCCCATTGTCTACCACAAAAATCCACACTCGGCGTGGAGTTTGAAGCATTGCACTACTGGCGTCTGGCTTGCTGGGACTCTGTCATCTCTCTGCTCCAGCAGGACACAGGAGGGGGCTGCCTGAGTCAGACAGGAAAAGGGAGAAGAAAGAGGGTTCAGTTTTGCCTCAAGTATGGCAGCCTGGTTGGGAACATCACAAGCTGCTCAAGTGGCACTTTGTAAAATGTGGCTAGGTGACACACATTCCTCTCTTCAGGATCTGTGTGTGGATGCTGCTTGTGATGTATCCCAACAGCCAGAATGTTGTCCCCTTTTCGTGGGACAGGAATTTGCTTGATATTCCTCTAGCAAGGCAGGCCTTTTCCGGTACTGAATGTCTGGCTGCATAGGGAAGTGGGAGGAGGACAGCCCCAGCACCCTGGGTCTCAGGGAGAGTTCCCCCAATAGCCGGACCCTGGCGAGAGGTTGCCAGGCCTTTATTTGACCATAGGGTAATAGTACCTATCCCAGCTGACCTTCCAGTGGGGTGAGAAAGGAGAGGAAAAGGTAGTCATCTGTGGGAGAGCAACAGTTATCAGTCACAGTGTCTTCAAGTGAGAAAATAGTCTTTTCTAGAAGATGGTGCCAAACTGTCATTCCTCTGTGCTTTGGAGAGAACAACTGGGTTTGCGTAGTAACGGTGTAAGGTCAGGATAAGGAGGAATATTGAGATAGAAATATGTTCAGTGTGCTCAAGTGGACACCATTGGGTGCCCCTGGTGCACAGGGCACCAGGCTGCGTGCCAGCTGAGGGTAGAGTTGTACTGGATTAACACAGCCTCTTCTAGAGGGGGCTGCAGCCAACAGCAGGACTGGGGTGTGTATCTGTGATCCTGGAGGTGTTGAACCTACTTTAGATGGATAGAAATCCACATAACTATTTCAGCTAGAAGGATCCCCCAGGTGTGTGTGTGCATGCTTGTGTGTGTGTGTGTGCATGCTCATCTTTGCATGTGGATGAGGAGTATACACCCTCTTAGGACTGACGTGTGTTACCTCTCTCCTCCTGTCAGTATCTGTTCCTCCCCACGGAAACTCTCAGGCCTGTCCTGCTGCTGCCCAGCCCTCTCTGCCCATGCATATGGCACGAAGCCTTCCTCCACTAACCCTGCTCTGTCTCTTCTCCTCTTCTGTATCCCTCCACTTGTCCTGCCTCTTGGCTTGTCTGGAGGGAGTCACGTCAGCCCCCCAGCTCTTCGTGGACTCATTCGACCCCCTCTCCTGCTCCCACCTCTTCTGTCACTGAGAGGACACATCAAGGAAGTGACACAAGAACCCTGTGGCACAGGGTCACTGTCAGCCTCATAGATGATGAAACCAAGGCCTAGAGGTCACCCAAGGTCATGCACTGGTACATGATGAAGGCTGGACTTGGGAAATCTGGTTGCCACAGTTCAGCTCGGCTACTGCTGCTGCTGTCAGAGGCATGGCTGGTTCTGGGATCCTTTTATTCAAATCTAATAAGCGGAGAAGAGGTCTGTCCCTGAGTTCCACATTCCAGGTTGTAAATATTAAAACCATAGATTAGCCTCACCGTGACAGGCGATAGCCGGCAACAGATTCTTCTTCTTGGCCAGATCCCAAAGGCAACCCTCTGAGAAGGGAGACAAAGGTCACACCCCATGTTGGGGACTGGGAAGGAGGCAGACCAGAGAGTAGGCCCCTTCCCTATCATTGCTGGGAACTGGGGACCCCACACCAGACCAGGGAACATGCACGGTGCTGGCTCCCGGCCTGGGCCTGCCCCACCACTGTGAACTCCCAGCCTGTATATCCACGCTTGGCCACCCCCTCTAAACAGTCCCCCTTGAACCTAAGTACATGTCCACCCTTGGAGGACAGACCTGGGGTGAAATCCATGCAAGTCCTAAAATTAGACTCAGGCATTTGAGTGGGGGGCTCTGGGGTCCTAGGCATCTAGAGGGAAAGCACACCAGAGGGTGGGAGCCCAGGGCTCTGCCTTCTGCTTCCAGCTGGCCACTCACTGCCCAGGGTGTATGTCCTCAGCACATGGGTGTCCTCATTGTAGAAAGGACACTGTGGGACCACGGCTGTCCTCTGGCTCTGCTGCTGGCTCACGTCCCCACTCCACCCTGGCCCCATCTATCTGTCACCCTGCCTTTCTTCTCTTTTTTGGCTGGTTTGTTAACCTTGGTAGCAAAATGTTTACTCTGAGTTTGTATGGAAGATGTTGGCAAACTGATGCCTGGGTGGAATGAGAGAGAAATACCAGTACTTGTTTACCAATCTGTAAATGAGTGAAGCCCACGAAGCCTCTAGGTGAACAAGTTTCCTCTTAACTGTATTGTATTTAAGTATTTGTGAAAGACAGAAGGAAGACAGATGCGCCAGCCTAGTTGCTGTCCCAGTGTAAAGGAAGGGGAGGAACATCAATTACAAATTTTCTAGTGTGTCCTTCTCCCTGTGTCC